AAACTCCCCATCAAAAACCCCATCTCAGACAAAAACAAAAATTCACAGATAACATCAGAACTAAAAAGCTTGCAGACAAAATGGGAAAAACCCAATAAACAGTAACAAAAAAACAAGAATCCCCAGCATTGGTGTAAAAATAGTCCAAAAAATTCATAGAAAATCAAAATCTAAGAATTTACCAGTGAAACAGCAACCAGAAGAAACATCAAATCTATCTAACCAACCTGAAATATCAAAAAAAAAATGTCAGACAAAAATCTTGAAAAAATGATCAAAGATTTTGAGCTGTTTGTATAGCTGTTTAGATTGAAATTTCACATGTTTTAAACAGAGAAAAACATACAGAACTCACTGCTTAACAGAAGAGAGAGAGAGAGATAGGGGATTTGGAGAGATGGGGTGGAGAAAGAGGAAATGAAAGAATACATACACACACAGAGGGAGAGGAGAGAGAGAAGAGGAAACACCAAGCAATCTTGAATTTATTTATGTAAAAAACAACTCTTCTTGTCCACAAGGCAACTAATAAGGCAAAATAAGAAGTTCCATAAGAGAATTATTCGTTTGTCCTAAAAAGAATGGCTAAGTTCGGGCTATAGATTTTGAAATTAAAATTTAAAATTTAAATTTTTAGAATTTAAAAGTTATGTTTGACTATGTATTTTAGTGGAAGTTTTTCGGAAATAACTTTTTTATTTTTTATGAGGTATTCTCTCTGGATTTCATTTGTGAGATTTCATTAAATATGTTATTATTGATGTTTGAATATGTATTTTATTGAATTTGTAACATTTTATACCCTCAATATATGCATCATCTTTTGATTTGCACACTCTAACCTCTTATTATTTACTAATTTGTCCCTTAATCTATTGATCTTTTTGCAAGAATAGGGTGCAAATCGAAAATTGGTGCATATATTGGGGGTGTAAAATACTAAGAATTTCATTTTATTAAAAAGAATTTTATAAAAAGAATTTTAAGTTTTGAAAATGAAAATCTTAATTAAAAAATTGAAAAAAAAAAAAGTGAAACACAAATTTTCAAAATCTAATTCATAATGTTGGTCAAACACTAGCAAAGTTTGAAATTTAAAATTTAAAATTTCCAAAAAAGTAAGGTGTATACTACTATTATGTTGGAATACATTATACATGTAATTAAAGAAATGGAAAAAAATAAATCAGCATCTTATGAATTGTTATACATTTATTGATTTGGTGAAAATATTTTTTATTAATTACCTTATATAATAAATTTGTATATTTAGTCAAATATTGTGTATTTATTGTATTAGTAAAAATAAATAATATTTATTGAAAAAATACATTATTTATATTAGTAATAAATAAAATTAAACATAAATTAGCTTTAAATTTTTTGTGTACTAACTTTTCAAAAGTAGATGAGATTTCTTTTTCTTTATTTATTTTTCATGGTAAAAAGTACTTGTTGACTAGTAATTTATTTATTTTTTCGTACCAAAGTGATGAAATGGAGAAGAGTAAATGAATTTTGTAAATTAGGTAAAGGAAAGTGAAAGTAAAAAACATTATAATAAGTATACAATAAATAAAGATGAGTAGGTTGTCACTGCAGTTGCAGCTGCAGCTGCTTGCTGGCTAATTGGTTTTCCATCGATATTAGATATTTGTATTAGAGTCTGATGAAATTTAAATTTGTATTAAAAATTTATTTTGAAGAATAAAACATTCTCTAATAAAAAATGACATGATATCTATAATCTGTATTGACCCTAAAATTTATGATTATATATATTAAAAAATATATATATTTATCACTCCATTACGATCTTTCGTATACCTCTAAAGTGAAATTTGCCTAATTTGCGCCGAATGAAAACAGTACTTTGCAATAACAAAAAAAAAGTTTATATCTTTATGTCTCTTTTCATGACATTTGTTCATAATGAAAACAAACACACTTCTATTTTTATTTTATTTATATATATATATATATATAAAGACAAAATAAATACTTGACACTATTTTGTATTATTATTATTTTGTAAAGACACTATTTTGTACTCACTTATTTTAAACAGTCCGATTGTGTTTGTTTTGAATTGATTAGGCTTATGCAATGTTGATGTCAATGAAGAATATTTAAATGTCACTTATGGGATTACACCGTGTAGGTTACTGTCATTTTAAAAATAATTCTACTTCTATTTAGATTTATTTTTCTTCATATCATCTGACATTTTATTTGAAATAGTTGAACTATTGATTTATTTTGTATTAATAATATTTGCCTAAAGGTAGAAGAATACCTCATTAGTTAGAACTTATGATAAATCATTCCACTAAATTATAGAAATGTTATAACATATTTAAGATCACAATCAAAACTCTTCTTTTTTATTTCTTTTTAAATTTTACATAATCAAATTATCTCATATAAATTAAAATAAGTGCTTATTTTTCTGGCTAATCCGATGATGTGTTCGCCTATTTAAAAAAAAAACAAATTTCATACTTTCAAATCGATATATATATATAAGAGAGAGAGAGAGAATTTCACAACTCATATATTATCTCAAAAATTTGATTAAATTCAAAGTACAATAAAAAAAATTAGTTGTCACATTGTCACTCTCCTTCCTTCACGCCAACTATTGTACTTACCTATAGTTACATTTCCTATTATAAATATCTTTATTACTATAATTATATTACTTTTTTTTCGTTACATTTACTTATTCAGCTTTGAACGCTTTTTAAGAAATAATAATTGATATAAGAATTTTATTATAATATGTATTACTAGTAATATTTAATATTAGGTTTTTAAAAATAATTTACACAATAAGTAATTAATGATTAAAAAAATAAGGATTTTTTTTATTGATATGTTAGAAATATACAAATAAAAACCAAAATTCTTTTTTTTTTTTTACAATAATTAACTAGTAAAAATAAACGACATCATATCACTTTGACTATTTTCATGTTATTTTAGTAACTTCTGATAGAGCAGAAGTGAGGGGTCAGTTCACATTTATATTTTTATAATATTAAAATAAAATAATTTATACACATCACCCAATATTTTATGGTAAACGTATTTATCATATTTTGGAAACTTGTGCTTCATGCTCATTATCCACTTTTAAAAAAATAGGCAACCTCTCCGTCAACATCTTTTTCTACCTTTTCAAATTGGATTTATTCAATTATTTTGTTCCAAATATTTTTTCCACAATTTTTTTTGGCATTTGTGGGCTTTGTGATAATGGAAAATAAAGATAAAGAAGATAGAAAATGGAGGGTCTTTTTTTCCCTGAGGGTTTTTCGAAAACGAACTCTCTACCTTGCGAAGATAGTAGTAAGATCTGCGAACACTCTATTCCTCTCAGATTTCACTTTGTTAAATTTTATTGAATTTTTATTATTGTACTAGTCTAATCAATGGTGAAGCCACAATTCGTGTCATCTAAAACTACTATTGTATAAAATTTATGTATGCGTATACAATATATCAATAATCATACAAAATATACATCAATTTGGAATATGATTCATACCTTTGCAACCTCATATGCACAAACTAAAAAATAAATTGTGTTCTACATATGATAATAGAGTGGCTTTCAAACAATACAACACCTAATATATTTTGACGATCCAATACGATTTATAAACGATCCAACGGAACATCTAAGTTGGCATGCAAAAGTATTAAGTGGTCCAACATCCTTTTAATTGTTGTCTGAGCCTTTAGACATTTGCTTTTACTACTCATTTGCATGCCTATTTTATTCTTCTTTTTTTCTTAAAGAAAATAAATAGAATAGAATACAGTATGTAGAAAGAGGACAGGAACATTCAATCATATAGTAAAAAAAAGAAAAAAGGAAAGCATCAAAGATATCATGACATTTGTATATTTTTTTCCCTGTTAATTATTCATTTATTTACTTAATTTGACAAATCTTCAGTTCAATTTGGATCGATTTTTCAGAAAATCAAATCAATTAAGCCAATTTTTCAAATATTGAAATCAAACAAAGATTTTTTTTTACAATTTATTTTTCAATTTGATTTGATTTTTCGAAAAACTGCTAGTTGCCACCCTATTACAAGTCTTTTCAATTACTCTTACACATAAAAGGAGGCAGAACTTTGTGACTTTTTGCTTGGAAGATGGGTCCTTGATTTTGAAATGGTCCTCAATGATTATTACCTCATGTAATTACTTACATAAATAAATTTCATACAGCTGTTTTAGTGAGACAATGATCTATTAATTTTGGTTGATTTCAAGTTGATCCAAGGCTTTTTCGAATTTATATTTTGGATCTTTTTTTAGTTGCCAAATGTATGAGATTAAAAAGACTTGGTCCTATCGAAGAGCTAGCACACCTTCTAAGCGTTCATCCTGAAGGGGAGACAAATTTCTAGGTTAATATAAGAATACTCATCGTTTCAAGGCCATCTTAACAAAGATTGATTGCAACTCTTAATCGTTAATTAAGAAAAATGGGTAATTAATGGCGTTGGATATGGATGATCTTGAACTTTTGACCCTATTTGCCATATGGACAAAACTTCAAGGTCAACCAAGTTTTGCTTTTTAACCTTGAAGGTTAGCCTATAAGGCAAGCAAGGGTTGAACTTACCACGCATTTTCAAGATTATCGAATGTAATTTCTCGGTTGCTTGTTAACTATGTGGTCAAAAGTTCAAAACCACCCATCCTCTATCTAGTTTTGTCATGTATAAGAATCGAAGACAATTTAACATCAATGGTAAGAGAAAGAATGAGTCTTTCGGAAATGTCTCTACCTCTACGAGGTAGGAGTAAGATTTGTGTACATTCTTGATTCTACCTTGCCCAGACCCCACCGCTAGTGTGATTACACTGGGTATGTTGTTGGTGAGAAAAATGAATGAACAGACTAGCTCAAAGATCAGGACTAGCTAATATACAACTTATTTATCCAGAAGAAAATCTATACAAGAATAATTAGTAATGAAGAAAAGATCAAGAATTCTATGTCAAGGTTAAACAAGAAGTGCATTAGAAAGGCAGTGTAATGTTCTCCTAAACCAGGAAATATGTTATCTGAACAGAATCTTAAGTAGTACCTCAATTACTTGCATGAAGCAATGCAAATGTTGATTGTACTTTCAAGGAAAATAACGGAGGACAATAAGAAAAATTACCAGCCCTATGATTTTAAAATTAACGAAAAACAATACAAGAAATATTTTCTATGCTTTTATCTTTGCTGACAAAAACTAACAAGATCCATTCCCTTTTAACCCCAGATGCTCCCTTAGCGATTGATAGGAGTGTGCATCCTCTCGACTATCTTATTCACTGCATCACGGGACATGACTAGTGTATCATGTAGCAAAATACTGTAGACGTTTAGACCCTGGCATGGAGCAAAGAGGATAAAAGATCAGCCTTTTGCAGTCATTTGTTTAATTTTTTCACTTGTGATGGTGAAGTGGTTGGGGGCAGTAGGAGGAGTTACAGTAAAAAAGCATGCAAAAATCTCAGGTAATGAATATGTAAGAAGTTTGATGCTTTAGCAATGAACTCAAATAAATTCTGTAGCTTTTCCATATTGTAGCCAATAGTTTCACCAAAAAAATGCAGCATACTAGAGGACTGATGAGGCAAAAGCAAATCATGCATACCAAAATCAAGAAAATGGAAGTCATCTTAACAAAACTCCCATGAACTGGATCCTCATATAGAAAAGCCCAAACACGTTGTCGTGGAAACACATGCTTATATGCACACTGTTGCAATGATGTTTAATAGAATTGGAAACTTACAATTGAAGGCAACACATTGACATAGTGTACATTCTGAGTAGCCAACTTTAGTTTTTCACTGATTGGGCCACCATCCACCACCAGAAGCTTCTTGGTATTCTCCAATTGGTTGAAATAGTTCACTACGTTTTTTGTTTTGTGCGAAGGAATCTCTAAATCCTCAAAAACCAGAAGCTGCATGCAGTGCAATTGAGATAAACTAAATCAATGAATGAAAACGAAGAAAAGTTCATATCATTTATTGTGAAGGAAAGCAGGAGTTGCACCACAAAACAGATGACCAGTGTTGATGCAAAAAAGGAAAATGCCACTCGTATAAACCAAAGCACGTTAATTCTGGAAGCTTATCAAGGTTAATGATTAAAACTGACCAACTCTTCTCGTGAAGAGGTCATGAAATTATGTTTCATTGTTCAAAAAATGTATTCACTTTTCAAAATATTTTGGTTGATTCAATTTGATGACAAATAATAGATTAAAAAACCGAGGAAACATTTGTTTCTATTAAATGTATTTTCGAAAACCAAAAGAATGAGAGTTCCAAGAGAAAGGAAGAAAATGAGACAGCAAGTTTTGGCCTTTGTTTTTACTTTTTTGATAGCTTGATCTCAGATTGTTGTTTGATTTCAAATCACAAAACCCAAAAAGAAAGTGTTTGAAACCAAACAATACAAATATCTCAACGACTCATCTATACTCTTTGAGTTTCCATTTTCTTTTTTGCTTTCTTTTAGTTCCAAGTTTCTTTTGGGAGAAAAGTTCCCAAACAAAAAAATGCATGCATGGAATGGATGTTGCTTGCCTTTCCTTCAGCTGCACGAGCTGATAGTGCAATCTTCAATCCTAGCCGCCGAACCTTCTTGTTCAGTTTGATTGCGTGACTTCGTGGTTTTGGACCGTGCATAGTGGCACCACCTCGAAACTGCATTGATCGCAATAACACATTTTATTTTTTCTGATGTGATATCAAATAATCATAAAACGTAATAAATTCAAGACAATCTGAACAGGAAAAAGGCAAGATAATGTAACCTGAGGACCACGCAGTGTTCCATGCCTCGCTCGCCCTGTGCCCTTCTGATTCCACGGTTTTCTCCCAGTCCCACTAACTTCACTAATAGTTTTAGTTGAATGGGTCCCCTGCAAAGTTCACCAAGAGTATGTCTTAAAATACCTATTGAATCCTCTACTGCGCTTTGGCAAGTAACTATAGTTTACAAAGAAGTGGTAGAATCAAGGGAACAAGCATAAATGTAGAAAGCAGGTAGGAGAATAGGAGGGCCTGATTGATTCAAAAGATCCACAGTAGATCATTTTTTGTCTGCAACATTTTCCTTTTTCAAGTCAACTTTGTTTATCAGCAACATTACAAAAAGAACAGTTGTCCCCAAAGGCATATAAGTTTTGTTGGTTTTCATATGCCTCAAAATATTCATCTTGATTCTTTTTTTCTTTTTCTTTTTTTGAGAATGAAAATCAGAGTGTCAAAAAATATTCCTGGTACCAACCCCCCCCCCCCACACAAAAAAAAATCTCTTAATTTCCCACAGAAGCAATAGACAGAAATATAAATGGAAAATGATAAATGCTCTAAAGCGTGGAAAACACAGAGTAAGGAGTAGCATATGCATGATGTCTACAACTTAAATTTTGGGATTCAAAATAACCGTGCGTGCACCTGCTGCCGTTTTGCAAGCTGCCATCTAACAACCCGATGAATAATATCTTTCCTGATTGGCACATCAAAGACATCACCAGCCAAACACATAAAGCCCTTGTCTTCATTATTGAAGTTCGTTACTGGAATGACCAGGTCCTGAAGGAGCCCTACCACATACAGTAATCAATAAGATAGTTACACAAAGTCAAACAATATAGACTCATCCATTCCGAATAAATTCTCAGTGTAAATGAGGAAAGAAATTATACGGAGAAAAAATTAGACCAACTCTCTTTTGTACTATCAATTTGAGGTGATCATCCTTACAAAGGACAATATATGATGACCTAGAAAGTGTTCATTCATAGTTGGTGAAATGCTGCGCAAGCAACAAAGATTTTTAACTATTACTTCTTGTTACTTCACAAGACAAGGGGAAAAGATTAGCAGATTGTACTTAAACCAGCATGTCGCAACCAAAAAAACACATTTCCATGAAGCATGATAACTAACTTTGTTTTCATTAAATTCCTTCAGTTTCTAAGTTAGTCATGGCAATATGAGGAACTATAATTCCACTAATCAATATTATATAATAATTTTGTGCCATACAGCAGACCCTATCTTGCTTGGGATTGAGGTATAGTTATTTTAGTGCCAAATATTAAAAAATACACAAGCCTCATTCTCCAAAAATCTAATAAGGAGAAATGGAACTTCCCCAAAAATGCTATTGAAGCCAAAGACATGTTTTCTGCAAGAAGTGATACTTTAAGCTATCCTATAAAACCTGTGGGGATCATAAAAATATTACTGATCGAATATGATGATCATATGGTCACCCATTAACACTTGTTGCAATTACAAGATGATTGATCTATACAAAGCTATTAACATTCTGTTCAAACTACTGTTCTTAGATGTCTGCCACTCTTTTGGATTAGGACGAGCATTCTTATCCCAGTGAGCAGGATATGCATAGGGTTAGATATTATTATTACTATCCTATCCAAGAGCTCTCAAAGCACATCGAGTCATTGACCAAGTAACTAAACAGCACACATTTTTGCCTGCTTGCAGTTTGGACTTCAGTGCTTCAGATATTTGAGAAGAAGCTAGTAGGTTGAAAAAATTCTCACAATGGGGTAGATTGGCATTGATTAGTAGCACACACCCAAGCTTGCAAACGTATTACATCCCAAATGTAGACAATAAGATAGTCATGGAAAAGATGTATCTTCCAGATGCTAGTTTACTTTATTAATTGTCACCAGATAGAGGCTTTACATCTTTTACAGTTGGTTTTAGTTTCCAATTACCAGAATATTTATTGTCACCAGAATACTAAAACTTGAGCCTAATACCATGCAAAGAATATGCATATCCAATCCAAAACAGTAAGGCAATGGGTTAACTTTCGCACTCCATAATTAACCTTCTAGAAACCCTACACAATGAGGGACAAGTGTATGCTCTCACGGGAGTGACAGTTAGACACCTGTGGACTTGAAGAAAGAAAGAGAATCATGTGGCCGGTGCTTTATGAGCAGAGAGATAGGGGTGGAAACGATCATTTTGTCATGCAATGCAAAAGTTTGTGACGAAGTTATGGAACCTGCTGCTAAATCTTTTTGGCACTGATGCTTACAGAGAAGGGGAACAAGAAGGAAAAGAACATGGAAGTGACTCCCCAGGGAGTTGTGGACCACATGGAGAAAATGGAACTGAAAACGTTTGGAAGTAAATAGATCGCTTTGGAAATGCATCTGGTTGTGTAATTTTTTGTATATTGCTGAACTCATGATACCCAACATGTATTGATGATTGGATTACTTTTATAAAAATGAACTCACTTTAGATAGTAATCCTTTTACCTGTTCTTTACAGTCTTTCCCTTTTTGTTAATACAATTCCTTCACTTATAAAAAAATAAAAACCTTTTTTCTTCCCGGTCCTATCCTGTCCCATGCTTGTGATTGAGGCATAGAAGTAGTAGTTATTGTTTCTTGATCCAAGTATTCAAAGACTGACAACATTTCCAAGCAAAGCATTACACAAACAGGTTTTAACTATTAATGGTCAGCATACACAACGATGAATAATAAAACTTCTAGCAGAAGTGACAGACCTAGACAGTTAATGAAAATGTCAAATTATACCTATCTCACGCTCTGGAGTCGAGACACGTTTCTTGGATAATAAATCCGAGGGAAATGAACCATCACTGGAATCAGGAGTCAGCAAAGAAGTTGAATATCTTCGACACGCGAGGAACAATGATTCATCCTGCATTGAGAAATTCGAAACAGGCTTAAAATACTCATATCAAACTCGTCTTTTTTCAATCCTGGTAAGCTTAAGTAGCACCTTCAAGTTAAGAGAACCTCACGTAATAGTGCCTAATGCACATAAAAAGATACTACTCTAAACTCTAAAGGATATCAAATTATCAATAGACAACATCTCACTGCAAATAAACGCAAAATATTAGGGAAAACAGAATTCTCAGCGATAAGAATTTACCTTTCTGAAGACCGAAGATTCCACACAAGACACTCCATCCCCAAGAATATTAGCCTTCACTGTTTCACAAAATTATAAAATAAAACAAAAAATATAAATAAATAAACCATGCATCTATAGAAGACAGGCAGATCCAATTTTTAACCAGAGGATTCTGCACAAACTATACATACATATATATCATCAACATCCAATGTCTAGGGAGGGTAAAGTGTACGCAAACGTTCCTCCTACCTTGAGAGGTTAAGAGGTTGTTTCTCATAGACTCTTGGCTCAAGGAAAAGCAGAACAAAAAGAATTAACGAAAGTAGAGAATACAATAGAAAGCATGACAAAAAGCATTCTGAAAAAAAAATAACATTGATTACAAGCGCAAATTTCCTGAGAAACGAAGTCATAAGCACGTAGGTTCAGAGCTAGACCAACTACTCCAAGAGCACTCATCCATAAACCGGTTGTAGGTACATATAACATAAAGAAATGTAACCAACGTTTATTGGAAAAAGTAACCCCAAAGATTTGGGACCCAAAAGTGGTTAGCAGTGACCTTTGAATAGGTTTCTTCGGCTTGAGTTGGGTTAAAAGCATGGAATGTATTTGCACCATCACCGTCTTCAAATAAAGTATTTTCTACAGTAGCACCATGAATGGCGCATAGCAAAGCAGCACCCAATACACCGGCAACTCCCATCATATGAAAGGGATTAAAGGTCCAACTATGAAACCCTTGAAAAAATAGGATGAATCGAAATATAGTTGCTACACCAAAACTAGGTGCAAAGAACCAACCGACTGACCTAGTGGATAAATCAGAAATACATAAACAAAAACAGCAATCGGAGATAGTGTGATAATCGAAGTACAACAGCAGTAACTGAAATTGAAGGACAAGCAACTACGACAAATTACTACAGCTACCGGTATGAAAAGACGAGCAAGACAATGCTATACCCTAACATGTGTTCTCCACAACCTCGTATCTAAGGTTAGATCCTCAGTAAGCTGCAACACGTATAAAACTTGAAAATGCCTGTCTTTTTATTAAACTAGCCTCCATTTTCACAAAAACATATACATCTATATCACTACATGGATCTAGGATCCACCTGAAGATTGAATTTACAATAAAGATTTTATTTTTTCAATAGAATCGTCAAAACCCAGAAATAATCGAGAAAAAGGGATACCATTAGAAGCAGAAAGTGGTCGAAGTGAGTTCAAAGAAGCAAAAGAACGCAAAACCCTCCTCGAAATGGACAAAGCCATGCTCCAAATCCTCCAGATTATATGAATGTGAACAGCTTCAGCACAACAGGAAACTAATTCATAAGCTCCACCAGAGGAGAGAATGAAATTGAGCTACTCCAATGGAAGAGAAAGTAGTAGTGTTAAACCTGCTAAAACCCTAGGGTCCCATTTGGAATTTTGTGAAAAATTACAATGCAATATTTTATTTTATTTTTGGTCCAATGATCAAATATTGTATTTTACCTCAAATCAATAATTCATTCCATTCTAATATTGATTTAGCAATTTAAAGAAAATGATTAATTTATTTTATTAGTTGAAAATAACTCAATGAATTATTTTTGTGCTTATTGTTTTGTTAATGAATGTGGAATGAGTTAAAGTTAGGGTGGGCGTTTGGGTCATTTAAATTAGATTATGAAAATTTCGATAATCTAGATGAAGATATTATGATCCAATCTAGACACAGGTTTGATTCCCACAATGGATAGATACTCATTTCCAACAATTTTCGATTAGTATTCATTGCTAAGTGATCACTCGCTATCTAGTTAGAAAAGATGGTTCAAATACTTTTTCTCTCCCAACAAACAAGACGAGATCACCACTTCCTCTCAGTAAACTTACTTTACCACGAATAACCTCAAATTAGTTTTGAATTTTTTAAGTTCAAATTTTTTTGTACTTTTTACAAGTCATGATAATTAACAACCTCAAATCACCCAATAATTTGCTCGTTAGAACATACAACTTCTACTATTAATAAAAATTGAGATGCCGCAGTAGACTAATATATTGGACATTTGAAAAATTGAACTGGCTAGTATTTGACAGATGATGTGAATTGGGCTGAATAAACAACACAAAGTTCAATCCGAAAATCAATTATTGAATATGATATCCATTCTAAAATTCATAAATATATTATATATAAAATTCAAAGTAAAATACCATTAGATGGAGTACATAATATGCCTACATACAAGGTTTTTTAAACGGCAGTAATTTCATGGTAAAAAAGATGTTTTTTTGGCGTAGTATTAACAAAAGGATAATCTTAAACACTATACCACAAGATCTGTGACTTCCCAAATAGACTAAAGGGAAAACACACAATTAGGTTCGTTCCAAATTCAATAACCTATACTGGATAGAAATGAGCTAGAAGAAAAACTGTGGGTTCACCAGCAATGGCCTAACAAGCCACAACTATAAGCAGAAACCAGAGTCTCAAAATTCATCATCGAAGACAAACAGATGCACAGACAATAAGCCATTTTCAAGACTGCAGTAGATCAACCTCACTTCAGATGAGGGACGATGGGTTTAAAACGGTGGCGACCTCCTGCCAATGTAGGCACTTAGATGCTTCATTGAGAACGTATGTCTCATAAAGGCACAGCTAAACGAAACAACATTCACAAACATGTAAAGGGGAGGGATGAAACAACACAGTAAAGTATTAAAAACTCAGGACCACATAACATAAAACATAATCTTAAGAATTCAAAAAAAAAATTCATATCCAAGATAAAACATCCTGAGATAGCAAAACCCTAGCAGTTTTTCAAAACTCATCCCTGCAAAATCTGTTTTATCCTCACTACAGAGGAGATCATCCATCAAAAAACGCCGCATTCAGCATTCACTTGGACAAGCTTGACTTCACTAAGAAACAAGGTTGTCATTGAGGGAAAGCGAGGCAAGTTGGTCAGCCGGGCTGCTGGTTGCCTGTTGAACATTCCTCAGGACATCCATAGCCTCAGAAACTTTAGCCTTCAAAGCCTCCGGTGATTCAAGCAGATGCAAAACCTCGGTCTGGTCCATTTCAAGAAGCATGCCCGTAACCTTCGCAGCATGCTCGTGCTCTAGCTGATCAACAAGTGGGTACAAACTTTCACCCAACATCTGCCAAGAGAACAATGAGAGCATTAGCAACCTAATTCAGTCAACAAGAGATTCCTGTAATGTCAAAAGAACTCACCGTCCTCTGCTGCTCAGGTGGTGCATTTGCAAGGGCAGTAGCCAATGTAGAAATTGGCACAGGCTGTCCCATAGCAGCATCACGAGGAAGCATACCACCCATATCATATGGAACAGAGAGCATACCACCAGCAACGCCTGGCATTGGCCCATCTGGCACATTACGTCCAGGTGGATAGCGGTACATTCTTCCTCTTGGCATCATCTGAAAGATAGAATCTTTCATCATTAGTTTACTAGTCTTTTAACAAAACAAAAAAATACAGCTGGATACCCAAAAAGATTGTAGAGAGTAAGCAGAACTCCACCTGCTGCTGCATCAAGGGCATAGGCTGTTGAGATTGTTGCACAGGCCCTGCTCCTCGTCGACCACCTGGGCGCTGGCCCTGTTGTCCTTGTTGAACCATCGGCATGAAGAAGTTTGGCATAGGAGCTCCTCCAGGGCGCATTCCAGGAACAAGCTGTTGTTGATAGCCAAACCCAGCCTGGAAAACAAGATTTATGCATCAGCACTAAACCCGTTTATATACATCTGGTGCAATCTTTCCAACATCATGTGTAGCCATTTATAAATTAAACATGAATTAGCCCAACCATATAGTATCAAGAGCATGTGCAAAATACTGAAGATCTAAATAAATAGACAACTATGGATAAGAACTAACAAAGTTACCTGGGGAGGAATAAGAGCGGGGGGACCTTGCCCATAAAATAGTTGCTGTCCAATCCCAGGAGCACCAGGAGGGTAAATTGGCATGCGAGGAGCAAGTGATGGGGGCATTGCCACTGGTCGCAGTTGTGAAAATTGTGCCTGTACCAACTAGTGCATTCATCAATATATATTACTAGGTAACTATTTGAGCAGATCAAAAGTTATCAGCAACAGACTCATGGCGTCAAGGCCACATTGAAACATACATTAGTCAAGACCCACTCTAGATGGGCCTTTTGCATCTAAACTAAGGCTGAGAGCATAAACTATGGACAAAGTATTCAGTGGTCCACTTAACAAGTAAAGCAGTATGATGCAAAATTCCTCCAGCGCTGCCACACTATTGGGATAGTAATTATTACCTGCAACTTTGCTCTTCTCTCCTCTTTCCGCTGTGCTAGTGCAACATAGAGTGGTTTGCTAACTATCATTTTGCCGTTCATCTCAGAAAGCTTAAAGAAAGAAGAAAAAATGAGTTACAAGTTACAACTTAATGAGCACAATGTAACAATAGAGTTGGCATATAAATTATACTTACAGCTCTGGAAGCTTCTTCAGGAGTAGAGAAGGCAACAAATCCAGAACCCCTGCTGATTCCACTTGGATCACGCATAACCTGAACGAACAAGAATAGAATACCTAAGCTTAAATGAATCAATACAGCCACCTAAAAGTTCATTCACAAGAAATAGGATACCTTGCATGAGGTAATTGTACCAAACTCTGCAAAAAGTTCCTTGAGCTTTTCATCATCAATGGTGTCATCCAAATTTTTTACATACAAATTAACACCTTGGTATTTATCAACAGCCTCCTTGGCAGTTTGCTCGAACTTGTTTTTCAATTCTTGCTCTCTTTCAGATTTTTTCTGTGCTTTCCCAACATACCACTCTTTTTCATCAAATTTCTTTCCATTTAATGCTTCAACAGCCTTAGCAGCATCATCTGCATCCTCAAAATTGACAAACCCAAAGCCCTTGGATTTACCATCTGCATCCCTCATCACTACTGCACTAGTAATACTTCCGAACTCACCAAAAACATTCTTCAACTCATCATCAGTAGCAGAGTCAGCCAAATTTTTCACATAGACATTGTTAAATTTTATCATGCCAGTTGTAGATTCTCGTTCCTGTTTGCGAAGAAAGTGTCCAACATACACTTGCTTATCATTCATCAACATACCATTTAACTTATCTATGGCACCTTGAGCAGATTCTTCATTGTCATATTGTACAAAACCATAACCCTTTGACTGACCATTAGAATCAGTAGCTATCTTGCAAGAAAGAATGTTGCCAAAGCTTGAAAAGGTGTCATGTAAAGCTTTGTTGTCAATTGACTTGTCCAAATTCTGTGTAAATAATTCAAACAAATGCATTAGGATAAAAAATATACATAGATAACCAGCACCAATACATATTGCAGGTCCCTAAAAATAAAGATGTGTGTGTCACCAACTAGAACTTTTTTAAAGATGTCAAAAAACTGGATTAACCAGATGTGAGCATCATTTATTTGGTGCCATGTTATAGATCCAATTATATACATGACACAATAACTCTGATACTTAAGACGACAACAAGAACTCAACAGATGTCTCACAATAGATAAGTGTCCAGTATATGTCCATGACTAAAAATATGAAGGAACAAGAGAAGCTCCGAAATGACAAATCACATCATACAAGATCAGGGTTTCAATAATAATACCTTAATAAATATATTTGCTGATCCACTCTTACGAAGAGTGGGATCCCTATGAGAATACATCACCCTAATGGACTTCCCATTGACAGGAGTGAAGTTCAACAACTCCATTGCCCTTGCAGCTGTGACCAAATATTTAGAGCAAAAACAAGTCAGAAAACAATTTGCAAAGCAGGTGATAAAAAATATAGACATACAACATCATTCCAAGTTAAACAGAATATTGAGCATTATCCATTCGATCAAATATGTAATGAAACATTAGTTGGACACAAAAGGGAGTTGAATTACGCATGCAACACCTTCATGAAGACTTGAACTTCCCAACACACCCTCATCGTAACCAATAAAATATACTCAAGATTAACAATATACTGGCAAAAACCACACAAGCTGAACCTTTTTTGTTCAAACCAATTATTTAGGCAGAATAAGCCAAATGCACATAAGAAATCACACTACTGCTAGGGGTGTCAAATCTCATAATGTGTTAAAACAGGGAAAAGAACAAATTTTTTCCAAAATTAGTAATTTCACAAAATATGAGGCATTAATTTTAATTATACCCATGATATCAAAAAACCCAAATTCATCAAAAATAAAGACTGTCAAACATGCAATCACACTAAAGAAGATACCAAAATCCCAAATTCATTAAAAACAAAGACTGAAAAACATGCAATCACACTATTATAGGTAACAAAATCCCAAATTCATCAAAAATAAACACTGTTAAGCATGCAATCTCACTACTAAAGATACCAAAATCCTACATTCATCAAAA